GGGTACATACAGGAATAACAGTAATAGTACCAGTAATCAGCAATGTACAACAACAACAAGCTTTATTAAGACCTTTCAGTCTTATACAGATTCTCCAAGCACAGAAATGTAGGGTACATACAGGAATAACAGTAATAGTACCAGTAATCAGCAATGTACAACAACAACAAGCTTTATTAAGACCTTTCAGTCTTATACAGATTCTCCAAGTACACAGAAATGTAGGGTACATACAGGAATAACAGTAATAGTACCAGTAATCAGCAATGTACAACAACAACAAGCTTTATTAAGACCTTTCAGTCTTATACAGATTCTCCAAGTACACAGAAATGTAGGGTACATACAGGAATAACAGTAATAGTACCAGTAATCAGCAATGTACAACAACAACAAGCTTTATTAAGACCTTTCAGTCTTATACAGATTCTCCAAGTACACAGATATGTAGGGTACATACAGGAATAACAGTAATAGTACCAGTAATCAGCAATGTACAACAACAACAAGCTTTATTAAGACCTTTCAGTCTTATACAGATTCTCCAAGTACACAGAAATGTAGGGTACATACAGGAATAACAGTATTAGTACCAGTTATCAGCAATGTACAACAACAACAAGCTTTATTAAGACCTTTCAGTCTTATACAGATTCTCCAAGCACACAGAAATGTAGGGTGCATACAGGAATAACAGTAATAGTACCAGTAATCAGCAATGTACAACAACAACAAGCTTTATTAAGACCTTTCAGTCTTATACAGATTCTCCAAGCACACAGAAATGTAGGGTACATACAGGAATAACAGTAATAGTACCAGTAATCAGAAATGTATAACAACAACAACAAGCTTTATTAAGACCTTTCAGTCTTATACAGATTCTCCAAGCACAGAAATGTAGGGTACATACAGGAATAACAGTAATAGTACCAGTAATCAGCAATGTACAACAACAACAAGCTTCATTAAGACCTTTTAGTCTTATACAGATTCTCCAAGTACACAGAAATGTAGGGTACATACAGGAATAACAGTAATAGTACCAGTAATCAGCAATGTACAACAACAACAAGCTTTATTAAGACCTTTCAGTCTTATACAGATTCTCCAAGTACACAGAAATGTAGGGTACATACAGGAATAACAGTAATAGTACCAGTAATCAGCAATGTACAACAACAACAAGCTTTATTAAGACCTTTCAGTCTTATACAGATTCTCCAAGCACACAGAAATGTAGGGTACATACAGGAATAACAGTAATAGTACCAGTAATCAGCAATGTACAACAACAACAAGCTTTATTAAGACCTTTCAGTCTTATACAGATTCTCCAAGTACACAGAAATGTAGGGTACATACAGGAATAACAGTAATAGTACCAGTAATCAGCAATGTACAACAACAACAAGCTTTATTAAGACCTTTCAGTCTTATACAGATTCTCCAAGTACACAGAAATGTAGGGTACATACAGGAATAACAGTAATAGTACCAGTAATCAGCAATGTACAACAACAACAAGCTTTATTAAGACCTTTCAGTCTTATACAGATTCTCCAAGCACAGAAATGTGGGGTACATACAGGAATAACAGTAATAGTACCAGTAATCAGCAATGTACAACAACAACAAGCTTTATTAAGACCTTTCAGTCTTATACAGATTCTCCAAGCACACAGAAATGTAGGGTACATACAGGAATAACAGTAATAGTACCAGTAATCAGCAATGTACAACAACAACAAGCTTTATTAAGACCTTTCAGTCTTATACAGATTCTCCAAGTACACAGAAATGTAGGGTACATACAGGAATAACAGTAATAGTACCAGTAATCAGCAATGTACAACAACAACAAGCTTTATTAAGACCTTTTAGTCTTATACAGATTCTCCAAGTACACAGAAATGTAGGGTACATACAGGAATAACAGTAATAGTACCAGTAATCAGAAATGTATAACAACAACAACAAGCTTTATTAAGACCTTTCAGTCTTATACAGATTCTCCAAGCACAGAAATGTAGGGTACATACAGGAATAACAGTAATAGTACCAGTAATCAGCAATGTACAACAACAACAAGCTTTATTAAGACCTTTTAGTCTTATACAGATTCTCCAAGTACACAGAAATGTAGGGTACATACAGGAATAACAGTAATAGTACCAGTAATCAGCAATGTACAACAACAAGCTTTATTAAGACCTTTCAGTCTTATACAGATTCTCCAAGCACAGAAATGTAGGGTACATACAGGAATAACAGTAATAGTACCAGTAATCAGCAATGTACAACAACAACAAGCTTTATTAAGACCTTTCAGTCTTATACAGATTCTCCAAGTACACAGAAATGTAGGGTACATACAGGAATAACAGTAATAGTACCAGTAATCAGCAATGTACAACAACAACAAGCTTTATTAAGACCTTTCAGTCTTATACAGATTCTCCAAGTACACAGAAATGTAGGGTACATACAGGAATAACAGTAATAGTACCAGTAATCAGCAATGTACAACAACAACAAGCTTTATTAAGACCTTTCAGTCTTATACAGATTCTCCAAGTACACAGAAATGTAGGGTACATACAGGAATAACAGTAATAGTACCAGTAATCAGCAATGTACAACAACAACAAGCTTTATTAAGACCTTTCAGTCTTATACAGATTCTCCAAGTACACAGAAATGTAGGGTACATACAGGAATAACAGTAATAGTACCAGTAATCAGCAATGTACAACAACAACAAGCTTTATTAAGACCTTTCAGTCTTATACAGATTCTCCAAGCACAGAAATGTGGGGTACATACAGGAATAACAGTAATAGTACCAGTAATCAGCAATGTACAACAACAACAAGCTTTATTAAGACCTTTCAGTCTTATACAGATTCTCCAAGCACACAGAAATGTAGGGTACATACAGGAATAACAGTAATAGTACCAGTAATCAGCAATGTACAACAACAACAAGCTTTATTAAGACCTTTCAGTCTTATACAGATTCTCCAAGTACACAGAAATGTAGGGTACATACAGGAATAACAGTAATAGTACCAGTAATCAGCAATGTACAACAACAACAAGCTTTATTAAGACCTTTTAGTCTTATACAGATTCTCCAAGTACACAGAAATGTAGGGTACATACAGGAATAACAGTAATAGTACCAGTAATCAGAAATGTATAACAACAACAACAAGCTTTATTAAGACCTTTCAGTCTTATACAGATTCTCCAAGCACAGAAATGTAGGGTACATACAGGAATAACAGTAATAGTACCAGTAATCAGCAATGTACAACAACAACAAGCTTCATTAAGACCTTTTAGTCTTATACAGATTCTCCAAGCACACAGAAATGTAGGGTACATACAGGAATAACAGTATTAGTACCAGTAATCAGCAATGTACAACAACAACAAGCTTTATTAAGACCTTTCAGTCTTATACAGATTCTCCAAGCACAGAAATGTAGGGTACATACAGGAATAACAGTAATAGTACCAGTAATCAGCAATGTACAACAACAACAAGCTTTATTAAGACCTTTTAGTCTTATACAGATTCTCCAAGCACACAGAAATGTAGGGTACATACAGGAATAACAGTATTAGTACCAGTAATCAGCAATGTACAACAACAACAAGCTTTATTAAGACCTTTCAGTCTTATACAGATTCTCCAAGCACACAGAAATGTAGGGTACATACAGGAATAACAGTAATAGTACCAGTAATCAGCAATGTACAACAACAACAAGCTTTATTAAGACCTTTCAGTCTTATACAGATTCTCCAAGCACACAGAAATGTAGGGTACATACAGGAATAACAGTAATAGTACCAGTAATCAGCAATGTACAACAACAACAAGCTTTATTAAGACCTTTCAGTCTTATACAGATTCTCCAAGCACACAGAAATGTAGGGTACATACAGGAATAACAGTAATAGTACCAGTAATCAGCAATGTACAACAACAACAAGCTTTATTAAGACCTTTCAGTCTTATACAGATTCTCCAAGCACACAGAAATGTAGGGTGCATACAGGAATAACGGTAATAGTACCAGTAATCAGCAATGTACAACAACAACAAGCTTTATTAAGACCTTTCAGTCTTTTACAGATTCTCCAAGCACACAGAAATGTAGGATACATACAGGAATAACAGTAATAGTACCAGTAATCAGCAATGTACAACAACAACAAGCTTTATTAAGACCTTTCAGTCTTATACAGATTCTCCAAGTACACAGAAATGTAGGGTACATACAGGAATAACAGTAATAGTACCAGTAATCAGCAATGTACAACAACAACAAGCTTTATTAAGACCTTTCAGTCTTATACAGATTCTCCAAGTACAGAAATGTAGGGTACATACAGGAATAACAGTAATAGTACCGGTAATCAGCAATGTACAACAACAACAAGCTTTATTAAGACCTTTCAGTCTTATACAGATTCTCCAAGTACACAGAAATGTAGGGTACATACAGGAATAACATTTTTTAAAAATATTATCTCTTCGGTAAAAATTATAAATAAAAGAAGATTGAACCGGGATCGAATCCCGCTTTATCATTTTGTTTAATATGTGAAAAACCTTCACATATTATTCATTGTTGTCTTCTTCTTCTTTCTTATCTCCACACTGGGTGAAGTAGAATGTTTTTGTCATCAAGACTGGGAGCACTACTCAGTGGCAGGCAACTGACTTAGCTCCAAAAGAAATGGCCGCCTCTAACATGAGGAACAGACACCATGTATAGCCGCTTCTAACATGGAGTACAAACACTGCTCATCCTGTTTCCCTGGAGACCTTACAGGGTACTATCAGCATGGCCAGCTGAGCCCAGGTTGTTTAGTGAGCTTGTTACTGCTCCCCCTCCTTTTTTTTTATCCGGGCTTGGGACTGGTACAGGCGGAGTTCATTCATTGTTGTAATTATCATAAACTAGGTTGTTCTTTTTGAGCGATACCTAATCAAGTGATTTTGAAACTAGACGAATCATTAGATCTTTAGTTTAACGCTCTACCAACTAAGCTATTTGGGATTGAAAGCGAGTAAAAGAGATAAAAAACAAGAAGAATTTAGTTTCTATCGAACAGCGAAAGATGGCAGAAGATAAAGCTAGTCAGGGCACGTCGTCTGCAAACACCCTACAGAACGGAAGCGGCCAATTTCCTTTCAGACGATCAATACCCACCCTTTATAATTGGGATTTTAGAATTTACAAATGGCTTCGTTCACATACTTTTTCTTTTTACTTCGCGTTATTCCTTTTTTATTCGATTAAATTCACTATTGATTAAAAAAGATAACATAGTTTTAATCCAATTTTAACAAAAACATTCTTTAGTAAATTTTATTTTCATCAGATATTCTTGTAAAGTTGTAATTAATTTAGTGAACTTGAAGCATCTAACGCTTCCATGTCAGTGGGTTCATTTATGTTATCACCATTTGAAATGCTAGCTTCTGTCAACTTCTTCTTCTTTCTTATCTCCACTCAATCATATTAGGGTGTAAAGCTTGAGACTTGACAACCATAATGACTGGGTGAAGTAGAATGCGTCTGCCTTTGTCATTAAGACTGGGAGCATTACTCAGTGGCAGGCTGACTTAGCTCCAAAAGAAATGGCTGCCTTTTACATGAGGAACAGACGCCATGTACAGCCACTCCTAACATGGAGTACAAACACTGCTCATCCTGTATCCCTGGAGACCTTACAGGGTACTATCAGCATGGCCAGCTGAGCCCAGGTTGTTTAGTGAGCTTGTTTTGTATGGGGCTGAAAGACAAACGAGAAGTGCTCCTCAGTGAAATAGGCCTTGAGGGACTCTCTTTGGAGCTCCTGTTGAATGAGGTGGTGAGAAACAGAGCTGGAGCGTTTGCGTTGTTCAAATTTTGGAAGACGGCTGAAGAGAAGGGGAAGCTATATACATTATCTAATTGTGATGTAAATAATTATATATAAATAATATTTGTCAGGATTAGAATGACGAATCCTGTATGGGACTTTGATTCCACTAAAAGGCTTGTTGTTGCTGTTGTATATAGTCACAGTGTAGAAAATACTATACCTACTACATATAGGTTTCTCTCTGTATTCTTAGTTCTCTTCTCTTCAATTACTCTGTAAACTGGCGAATCCTATATAGGACGAAAGGTCCTCAATAAAGGCTTTTGTTATTGTTGTTGTTGTAGTGAGCTTGTTACTGCTCCCCCTCCTCCTTTGTCATCCAGGCTTGAGACCGGCAAAGGCGGAGTGGCTTCTGTCATTAATAAAGAGACTTGAAGGCTTTGTAGTATGTCTTATAAGCAGGTCTTATTTGCAACTTTTATTTACACAATCAGAAAATGCCTTTTTTTCTTAATTTAACCACATGATACAAGTACACATTCACTATTGTACTTAGAATAGGTAGATAAATTAAGAAAAAAAGGTATTTCCTGATCGTTTACTAAAAGTTACTGATTTTATTTATTTATTTAACAATTACAGAATACACGCTATATCCACAAATCGGATATTTGCGTGTGAAATATATACATATGAAAGTAAGAAAAAGTAGTTTAAAGGGATATATACATATTTACATATCAGTATGATTACATTAGTAGTCACTTATTTAGTTAAGTACATTCTGCAGAATTTGTGCTAAAAGTTACTGATGGCTTGCACCATCTATCGGAATAAATATCAACTAATCGTTGATTTTTCTAAAATTTATTCCAGAATTGGCCAAATATCGTTTCTTGATTAATCAAGAATGGGTGTTTAGCCAATTCTCGAATAATTAAAAAAATCAACGAGAATAGTTGATATTTATGCCGGTAGATGGTGTAAGCCATCAGTAACTTTTATGTGCATAATCAGGAGATATTCTTTTTTTAAAAACCAATATAAATATGAAAAATAATAAAAAATAAAATAAAAAGGCCGGGTGTTGGTATTAAAAATAATGGAGGCATATCCTGACCAGTAGCACATGTGCTTTTCAGAAGACAGAGCGCCATCTGGTTGAACAGAAATCAACTAAACATTGATTTAACCTGTTCCCTAATATTTGGCCAACCCATTTACTTGATAAATCAAGAAAAGCCATCCACGAACGTGTTTCGCGCTGTTGGCGCTCGTCAGCGTGGAGCGTCAGCGCGTTATTATTATTTTTTTCTATTATTTTTCATATATATATATATATATATATATATATAATTAAAAAAGACATATATTGGATCAAAATATCATTTATTTTACCAATATTTCTGTTGGCTGAACGCCAACCTTTATCAAGGTGTTAAAACATTTTAAAGTGTCAACAACAAACTCAGCGCCACATAACGTCAACAGCATTAAGTTTTTAAAAATATTTTGTTATATACAATGGGGAGAATTTTTTTTGATATATATATATATATATTGCGTATGATATTGTTTTTTACAGCACAATACAACAATGTTGGCAAGTTTCTCTAGAGTGGAATGTCGAGGTGACGAATCCACTCCAGGGCCTCCTCTGTGCACCGGTGGATATCCCCAAGTGTTCCCTGGAAGAATCTTCGAGGACAGTCCCTTAGGATATGGTGCATTGTTTGTATTTGTCCACAGTCGCAGTTCTGGTCTGGACTCATGTTCCACTTATTTAGTAGGTAGTTGCATCTACCAGTAGAGGTCCTGATATATATTATGGACAAAATAATTTTTGTAAAATATAGGTGTGAATATTTTGAAAATTAACAATAACGCCTATTTTATATTTTAAAATTATTTGTACTATTTTTAAAAAATATTTTTCGTATAAAAATAAATAAAAATAACAAAAAATATATAAAAGAAATATATATGAAAAAAAAAAACAAGGAAAAAATGTTTATAAGTGTGGTCATGAGAAATTCCAAATTTATTTTTAATATTATCACCAGATCATTTTTATAATTTTTCTAGTGGAATTCTAAAAAGTAGTGCCGGAAGCAGACGAGTGGGTAACACCCTCGATGTCCAACAGCCATGAACCGGGATTGAATCCCGCGTTAACATTTTGTTTAATAGGTGAATAACCATCATATATTATTCATTGTAGAACGACATTTGAAAATTATCCCGCATGTGTTTCTTTTCAACGAAAAATCGATATTTATTTAAATGAGAAATAACGATTATTTCTAACCTTATGGATGAAGTATGAAAGGATGAATTGTGAAGAGTAATGATAAACGGAAAAATAAAAGTGCCCAGGGATGGGAATCGAACCCGCACCAGGCAGATGCCATGTCCACTAAGCTACCCTGGACATATTTCTTCGTTCGTAAATATTATATAAAGTAATTTATAATACAATATAATGTGGCTTATGATTGTAGAACGACATTTGACAATTATACCGTATGTGTTTCTTTTGAACGAAAAATCGAAATTTATTTTAAGGAGAAAAAAACGATTATTTCTAACCTTAGGGATGAAGTATGAAAGGAAATATTGCCACGTGGAAAATTAGGGAAGACCAACTTCGGGATGAGACAACAATTTATTTCAGGCAAGAACAAACTATGAGTGATAAACAAAAGTTAAGCAAAAGAAGGAAGAGTGTACAGAGTATAACAAAATATAAACATAAAAAATAATACTCTGTTAATAAAATAATAAATACTTTGTTACAATAGTATTCATTGTTGTGAATAACATAAACTAGGTTGTTCTTTTTGAGTAGTACCTAATAAGGTGGTTTTGGAACCGTGAAGTAGAATTCTGTCCAGAAGGTAGTTCTCCGCCTTTACCAGTCCCAAGCCCGGATGAAAAAGGAGGAGAGGAAGCAGTAACAAGCTCACTAAACAACCTGGGCTCAGCTGGTCATGCTGATAGTACCCTGTAAGGTCTCCAGGGATACAGGATGAGCAGTGTTTGTACTACATGTTAGGAGCCGCTGTACATGGTGTCTGTTTCTCATGTCAGAGGTGGCCATTTCTTTTGAAGCTAAGTCAGTGGCCTGCCACTGAGTAGTGCTCCCAGTCTTAATGACATTCTACTCCGCATGAACTCCGCCTTTGCCGGTCCCAAGCCCGGATAAAAAAAAGGAGGAGGGGCAGCAGTAACAAGCTCACTAAAAAACCTGGGTTCAGCTGGCCCGGCTGATAGTACCCTGTAAGGGCTCCTGATCCAGGGACACAGGATGAGGAGCGTTTGTACTCCATGTTAGGAGCAGCTGCACATGGTGTCTGTTCCTCATGTCAGAGGCGGCCATTTATTTTGGAGCTAAGTCGGCCTGCCACTGAGTAGTGCTCCCAGTCTTAATGACAAAGACAGACGCATTCTACTTCACCCAGTGTGGAGATAAGAAAGAAGAAGATGACATTCTACTTCATCCAGTCATGATGGTTTACAAACAGACACCATTAATGGTTAAAACTTGATTCTCTAATATAATTGAGTGGAGATACGGAAGAAGAAGAAGGTAGTGTAGGGACAATCAAGAAGGAAAGAACGTGGCAAACTGCCAAGTGATTCAATAGCCCGTTGTCACCTTGAGATGAAAATGGAAACATTCCTTCAGTGTTCCTGATCTTCAGAGACCGCAAGGTCAAGCCAATGTCGCACTTGGTGTGAAGTTAGATGGAAAATTTGCCGGGAGGAAATTGATCCATAGAAGCATAGGGCGCCTCTCTCGTCAAAATAAACGTCAAATAGACGGCAACAGGTTTTGACGTTTATTTTGACGGGAGAGTCGACCTATGTTTCTATTGGTGTGAATTGTTTTCTCTGATTCAACTAGCTCTGTTAATGGCAGCGATCCTATCTTTGATCAAATATCTTATCCTCTGATATGTCAATGATACTACAAGTGTCACTACAAAGGTTTTTGCTGGGACAGAAGAGCCTGTACCATGTGTAGACATGTGGTGTACTTACAGTAAAAGCAGTCGCTAACTACCCACCAGGATTATCATGGCCTGTACCATGTGTAGACATGTGACAATGAAAACAAGTTTATTGACTATTTAGTCAACAATTACACAGTTAACAAGAAATATTTACAATTGTCTGGACCGTCAGG